CAAACATAATACAATAACAACAACTACTACTAGAAAAGTGTCAAACATAATACAATAACAACAACTACTACTAGAAAAGTGTCAAACATAATACAATAACAACAGCAACTATCACTAGAAAACAGCGTGAAACATAATATAGTAACAGCAGCTACTACTAGAAAACAGTGTCAAACATAATACAATTTCAACAACTACTAAAAAACAGTGTTAAACATAATACAATTACAACAACTACTAAAAAACAGTGTTAAACATAATACAATAACAACAACTACAACTAAAAAACAGTGTTAAACATAATACAATAATAACAACTACTACTAGAAAACTGTGTTAAACATAATACAATAACAGCAACCGCTAATATAAAACAGTGTTAAACATAATACAATAACAGCAACCACTAATATAAAACAGTGTTAAACATAATACAATAACAACATCTACTACTAGAAAACAAGCGCCAAACATACAAGAGAATCATACACCAAGATACGATAATCCTAGCGCTTTCGAAAGTTGGACCTTTCTTCTTCAATGTTAATCTATTGGACCCTGAAGAAGAATGGTCCACTTTTAGAAAGTGCTCTGGTTATAGAGTTTGGTATCTTTGTGTTAAATTGATTTCTTGAACATACGTGTGGTCCTAGCATCATAAAGCGAGTCCTACAATAAGTATTACTATTATAAAAACGTCCCTATTAACCACTACCTTATCACAAGACTCTTACAACAATAAGTACTACTACTTTAAAATAGCAACAAATTTACCATTAACTTTAACATAGGATTATAAAACAACAATTACTTCTACAAAACAGCTCCAACCTAATCATTATCCTTAAACTAAGAATACAACAAAACAGCACAAAACTTAACTTCAACGCGAAAATCCTACAGCAAGATTTATTAATATAAATGAGCATTAAACTTATTATCAATGTTAAACGAGAATTTCAACAACAATAGTTACTATTCAAAGTAAATTCAAATGTAATGTTAAGCTTAACAAAAAGTCCTACAAGAATTAAGAGTACAAAATATCACTAAAATATCATTAACCTTAACATGAGAATCTTGCAGTAATGAATATTACTAAAAACTTATACCAAACTTATTACCCTTACCCAAGAATCCTAACACAAGATCTACTACTACAAAATAGCAAACTAACACTTAATCGTAACACGAGAATTATTATTACACAATTGGAACAACTGTACAGTTAACCTTCACATAAAGACCCTTTAACAAAACCTATTACCACATAAACGCACCTAATAATCACTATCTGAACATGATAATCCTACAGCAAGAACTAGTGCTAGAAAACATCAAAGTTACAAAACAACAACTAGTATAATAACTGTACCACAGAGAATTTTACAACAACTACAAAAATGTACTTAATAACCACTACCTTAATACGAGAATTTATACAACAAGTATTACGAATAAGGAGAAATAAACTTAAAATCAATTTTAACACTAGAATTTTACAATAATAACTACTGTTATAAAACAACACCAAACTTACTTTTAACCTTAAAACAAGAATCTTACAAAAATTATTATTATAACAAAACGTCACCGAACTTATCAACTTTTGTATATGTGTTTGTGCATGTCCATGACATACAAAGATTTTCCGAAATTGATCAACTCTGAGCAACAGATATTCAAATTGACGGTTTCATAATTATTTCGACTGCACTCGAATACTGTGATACTTTGTTTTGTGCGAAATATGTCTTTCTAACTAAACAGTCTTAAGTTTAATTTGACTTACAGATTTTATCTCATCACTACATTTAATCTGAAAGAGAAAGACATTTCATCTACTTGCTATTAAAGTTAACTTATCATATTTTTATACTTCACGATGCACAGCTCCAAAAAGGTATAAGTGAATTTCTGTGTTAGAAACGACAATAAATCCTCTTAGTATACATCTATGAGTATATTTTCAACTTACAGTTAATGCAACAGTCTCAAATACAAAACAATTGGTTTTGGAAAATTCACTGTTTGTCATGGTATAAAAGTTAATAAACGGCCACCATCATAGTGCTTTTCAATATATTTTATTCCGTAATTGTAGTATATTGTAATGTTTCTAGTTGCTCAGTAACCGAACTATTACCGTATAAGCTAGGATACTTCAAATGGTTCGGAAAGATACTTGGTAACATTACTAAATATTACGTGAAGATATTCCCTACTTCAAGTTGTTCGGCAACCGAAACGATTATTATGGAGAAATACTTCCTTATTCACATTACTTGGTAACATTACTAAATATTACTTGAAGATATTCCCTACTTCAAGTTGTTCGGCAACCGAAACGATTATTATGGAGAAATACTTCCTTATTCACATTACTTGGTAACATTATTAAATACTGCGTGAAGATCCTTCTGTACTTCAAGTTGCTTAATAATGGAATTGATTGTTAATTAAAATGACAACAAAAAGCAATTAAATTAAATATTACTGATCTGAACATGTTTTATCACGCAATCTTATTACTATTATTCATAAACCGAAGTTATTTGTTCGAATACAACCCAACAGTTTATGCATTTACTGAATATAAAATGGCAATGAAATTAAAATTTTGAACCATGGACGACACTTTATATGCACGTGGACTAAATCGCCAGATATGAATTTTTTAAGCTTCAGGAATTGCTATATGTCAGTAATATAGATTATAGGGAAGACATGTAAGCAGCAGCTCTGTCGCTGAAATGGCGTTGTCTGGCTTTGAACCGAATAATGGTATTGACTGTCACCTTTTACTGTGACCACATCAGGAGATTGTTTATAATATCTCAAAACCTGGACCCTTGAATACGATACACTTAAACTAGACTACGCCTGACTCATAGAAATGGAAATAAAAATGTTAACAAGTTGTACCTAGTTATCCAAAATGCTTGCAAATGGTTGAGCACCTATATAATAACACTAACAATGTAACAATTATAATTCCAATGAAAACCAAAACATTAAATCAAATAGAAAATTAACAGAATGATAAAAGAAAAACACAATTTACTTACAAGGTAGCTAAAAATCGAGGTTCAGTCCTTTCGGTAGGCACAGCGCAGATAGCATGTTGTGTAACTTTGCACTTGATAACAAAACAAACAAATAAACTTACAAGGTATAATGAACCGACTTTTCGGTTTGGATATTCACAAACTTCCAACTTCTCAACACGACTTAGGAAAGACTTCGGTAACTTCTTTTCCAACCTTGTGTGTAGTTCTACCTGAGTAACGAAACGTAGAGCTCTAGAAATTGCACATCATAGAGCTGTGTCATTCTATGTGTTGGGAAGGGAAATTATTTTTCGACAGACGGCAAATAGATGCGTTTTGCCTTAAATACTGACATTTGTTATTATGTAATCAGAATGTTAGAACTTAGTGTTTCTTCATAACTCACATTCTCCACCAACTAACAAACATTATATTAAAATTTTGAGCTGAATTTAGAGTTCAGTTCCACATTAAGTGTAACAAAAAATTAAATAATGTGCTCAGATAATAAAATATTTTATTATCTTATCGTTTGTATGATATCTTTCACATGTATGAGCGTTTTTATATTTCGAAAAGATCAAACCAATAATCAACACAGGCGATTTTTAATGTTTGAGCAATGGATATGCATAACTGCTTATGTTGCTCATCCGATCGTGAAAATTTAACATGTAAAGCAATATTTAATGTGATTTGCAATAAGACAAAGTTACCTGCTTTGTAAGGCGTTTGAGTTGAGCATTTCGACGGACAGTCTCAATATCACCAACTGCCAAACCTATCTGTGTAAGATTAAACCAATAATATAAGATTACACAAAAAAGGAAGGTTCAACTTTACTATACAACTAATAAAATCTGAAAAACGACATTCTTCATTACTTCTCATACGTTTTTTACTGAAGCAAAAGTATAATATAACAAGCGAAATGATGACATAAAATGTATGAAACATCCATTCAATAGCGAATTTCCTTTTGTTTTATAGCTACTTCAGGAACGTTTTGTGAGTCAAGCTTGAGATATCTGTAGAACACTTCCGAACAAGATGTGAAACAAAACGCTTTTACAAATAGAATATCGTTTTTGAAGTCTCATGGGTGTCCTCTTTACTTACTTACTGTTGGTGAAAAATACTTCGAAAGCGAAGTACTAGAATCGTGGATCTTTAAAATGATATATACAGAAACCAAGTAATTAATTTGTATGAACATTGAAAATTTACATTCTCATGTAATTCAAACAGTTAAATAAAATTTAGTATCGAAACAATTTCCATTATAAAAAAAACGTAAACAAATATACAAGTTAAGGTTTCTTATTTAAAATTATTAGTCATACTTTTTTTCTTTTTTCATTTTATTAATAAACTTCATTTATTGGCAAATAAATTGTTTATTAAAAGCTTAAAGCGAAAACTAATTAATGCAATGATAGAATAAGCACGTGTTTGAGATTCATTAATTAATCAACACACAGCCTGACTACGATATATTAAAACGATTTTGGAGCATCACAACGTCGTTACAATATATATCACCACGTCCATTCATGCTCTATCAGACGACTGTGCATCTTGACAACAGTGCTATAGCGTAGTTTCTATTAAAAAAGGATTTGAAGTAAGGTTGTCATGTCTAAAGCTCGCCCACTTCCTTTTTCATATGTTATCTAGTGTATGAGCACGAATGTTTTCCTGCTCCCATTTCAAGAGTTTGATCAAAATTCCTGGGAAATAGCATGGATACCCATAATTCTCTAGTTGCTTGAGTTGTGGGTGGATTGAACAAATCATACTTGTATCGAGAGCTATAAATAATTATATTTTTCGTCAACGTCCACACAGATGGGTTCAATTACTTTAGAACACCCTTTAACAAGGCAAGTTATTCTCCTCTACTCTGTTGTTACAACACCAGCTGTGAAACTCTCTTTAGAAAGCGCCCATTATGTCTAAACTGACAATCACGAAGTCTAAATTCACTTTTTTTTTTACATTTACCTCGACTTTACCTTACTTTATTAACTAATTTAGTTGTCTATATATATGTATTGCCCGACTGAGGCCCAGAACTTTCTATACACTACTAGACATTATGATGTAACAATGCTCACTTAAAGCAACGAGAAAGATTCAGAAGCTTCGAGTAACATGACGCCATTTCACAACAATTGAACTACACAACAAATGATTTGTAAACAGTTATGTAAGCAAACTTGCCATAACCATCACTTCTAAAAATACTAAACTTAACACTCGCGCTTTTTAACTACATATATCATAACTCTCGTATTAAATTTAAGTGAAACTGACGTGTATTCCTAAGTGACATATATATATATGCAATAACCACAAATATCTGTGTAAAATACTATTAAGTAGAAATTATCTCGGAATGTTATAGACTTACAGCGTTTTGATAGAATGCACTGTGCAAAGTATCTTACCAGCAGGTTCATTAGCAGAATAGGCATAAGAATCGTGAACCCCATCAGAAAAAGTATAGCAACCGCCATTTGATTCCACACTGGGACCTTCAAATGGCGAAGTGGAAGAAGAAAAGTGCCAATAAAATCAACTTCACCCAACATCATCGTTCCAACTCTTGCTAATGATAAGCTGGGATTGAAGAAACCTTTTTCGTCTGAACCCTAAATAAAATATTGTGTGATATTAATCACAAAAGTAATTTTTCAAATCATCGTTATTTTTAATAGCAATATACTAAAACATGTTTACATAAAAATCTCTGATACTAAAACTACCTTGAAGTATTGTTAGTCAGAAGTATCCCTTAGTATTATAATTATGCATCAGTTATGTTTATTAATATTCAGATCAGTTAATTAAAATACATTTTAGAATTTTGGTAAAATAAGTATTACGTTATTCTCGTAAAAAATACATATATGAAAGACTTTTCTAAAGATGTCACATAGGAACGTGACACTTCGTTAATTAACGAGTTTGAAGTAGGCCTAAGGGGAATGTCGCTAAATTTGTAATCGTAATATATGTCAAAATAATTCCTTACCTCAGTTTTGGCCAACAGAATGTAGAAGCTCAAGCCAAAGGCAATAATGAGCACCGAAAATACTAACGTAACTTTCAACAATGTAGAGAGAATTTCCAAGAACATGACGATATAAATTCCAACTCGATTAAACCTAAGAAACCGACAGAAATAAGTTAATGAACCCAACAAATGAACTTAACTTAGTATTTCAGAGTATTCCAAAAGTAATTCAACACGGAAAATTTGCGTTTACCTTTAGAAATTAACCACGTTTGGTCTTTCAGTATTCCTGCACTGCGTTAATGTTTTTAAGTTTCTTAGTCAATTAGGAAGTTTAATACGATTTCAAACACGTGTTAGATAAACCTACTTGAAACATAATTTTAAAGCTTAAGATCTGCGGAATTGCACTATGTGTTTATAATAAAATTGCATATCACAAATATGTTATATTTGCGTATCACAAGTAAGTTACATTTCAGCGAGAAAGGCTCAGATTTTAAGAGATTTTTCAATTTTGAAATATGTAGAACTGAGAAAGTTCATTAATTCAACAGATGTAACCATAGATCAAAGCAGACACCAAAAACAAAAAGTAAGCTGAATTACTTTCAAGTCATGCATTTAAGGAACTTAACAGAAACATCGCTAACATTTACGGTGATTTACCATATGCTCACTGTAAAAAAACAACAAACTGTGACCATAAGTTATTAGTCTACAACATTAACCTGCACATAGCTTAACGAAATCCAAACTATATTTCTCGCGCACAGTTTAGTCTTAGGCCTCAGTCAGGGAATTACAAATATCAAACTGATAAGAAAAAATTGTCAGGAAGTAAAAATCTAGAAATGCTAGAACTGAGTATTATTTTTGGTTCCGTTTTAGTGTTAATAATATAAGAACCCGCTCATAAAATAACCCTATGTACTTTGAAAATAAAAGCCACAGCTAAAGATGTTATGTCGAAGAAATAAGTTCTCCTCTGTGAATATTTCATGTTGTCAGAAGTTCTAACCTTTGAAGAAAGAGAAGATAGTTGAACCAAGCTAGAAATACGGCAAGAGCTGCTACAATATTTCGTGACGCTGGATGTTGAATCAGACGAAATGTACAGTCATCAGACATTAGTCCTGCTGTGATGTAAAGACTCCACTCGAGTAGATTTTGTGGTTCTGTGAAGTAGCGGACTCGCTAAATATTAGAAAAGTCAAAATAAGAATGAATATGCACAACTTAAAAAAATATATTTAATTTTACAAAGGAATATTTTAATGTTCCACAAACAAACAAAAATTTCAACAAATGGAATTAATATTCGCTATTCAGCCTCGTAAATAGGTTATTCTGTTGTAGGTTTTCACACAGATATATTAAAGAATTAAAACCAACGTTTAGCAGTACACAATATATATTTAAAAATGAGACTGTTCCCAGTTTCAATTACAATAACAGTTGTTTTACTAATGTCAGGAGTACAATATTTTGCATAAGTTAAAATCTATATACAATTTCAAAAATCAAATTATCAAATTTATATACAATTCAGCTGGCGTAAGGAGAGTTGAGGCGTAAATGTAATGGGAATGATGCAATAGATAGTAGGGATCAGGTGAAACTCATAAAGGAATGTATACAGACAGTTATAGCATGATGCAATGTTGGCTGAAAATTTAAGCGTAGCTACAACAAAAGATTGATTCTATTACTGGCTGGTCATGTTTAGAGGTATAGAGACTTGCGTAAAGAGCTGCCCAGCATGTGGGCTTTACAGTAAGAAGGGCATGAAAATAAAAAGTCCAAATGTTAATTTACTAATTATTAGTGAAGTCTGTAGTTCCGTTGGTGTCGATATTATCAGACCACTCTCAGTAAACAAGCAAGGTAATAAATATATTATTACCATGGTTGATTCTACCAGTAGATATGTAGAAGCAGTAGCACTAGATTCTGTGGAAGCAAAGAAAATAGCAGGAGAGCTGACAGTGAGCGTCTCGTGGATTAGGTTTCCTTAAAAATTCTTATCACATTTAGTAGCCATTTTCAATTAAAAATAATAGAAGAGTTATAGACGGCTACAAATGCAACACATTAGCCTTTATCGACTCCAAACAAGTGGATGCGTGAGAGTACAAATGGTACAATTAAGGCTATGCGACGATTAATGGTGCAGTAGAATCATATTGACTGAGACATGATACTGGCTTTCGACTTATCTGTGTATCGAGAAGTCTTCACTTTTTGAGTTATTACATGGTAAAGATGTTAAGGGTTCATTAGGCTTATCAAAAATATGTTGGTCCAGAGACGAAGTTGAGTCACGAATTGTGTTAGATTATGTGAAGAACTCGAAACAAAGGTTAACAAAGCTGCAGAAATTAGTGGCTAAAGCTACACAGAAAATACAATGATAAACAAAAAAATCGCTATGATAAGAATGCTAAAGAACGGAAACTGAAAGTGAATCATTTGTTTGCAATACTGGATCCAGTATCCGAAAATAGCTTTGCGTCAAGGTGGATTGGTACTCTGCCTATAATTAAGCATGTTGGTAAAGTGATACATGAGGTAGATGGAGAGCAAGTAGTTAAACGAACATACATGTAATTATAATTAAGTCACTAAAATCGCGCCTGAAACTTGTATGATTTGTTTAGAGGCTAGTAATCACAAGAGTTATCAGAAAACTATCTTAGATCCTTATGAGCAGACAGGGAATGTTAAATATCTTGAAGGATTAACACCTAAGGAAACGGAGGAAGTGTATGAGATTGTGAGAGATTATGACAATGTATTTGTTGATAGACCCAGGTAGACTTGGTTAGTTAAGCACACGATAAAAGTAACTTCAGTTGTTACGATTATAAAACCAAAAGGAGAGTGCCATACCATTTGAGTGAAACTCTTAAAGGTAAGATAAAAATATTGTTAAAAGGATACAAAATTAGGGAATATTCTAGCACTTATGCATCGGCTGTAAAGTTAGTACTTAAGACTGATAGAGTATGACTATGTTGATTTAGCGAAAGATTTGTTGTTGTTTTTTCAAGTCGACTGAGAGGAAGGGAATACAGAGTAAACCTTATGGTTTATGAGTGTAATGTAATGCACATTGGAGCAAAGAATGCTCCATCAACATTTAAGAGGTTAATAGATAACCTCTTACAGGACTTGAGGGAGTCAGTCACAGTTTACTTGGATGACATTGACATACACGCAAATAATTGGGATAAGCACCTAAGAGTGTTGAAGAAAGTACTAGTCAGTTTGAGTAAAGCAGGCTTAACAGAAAAACCATAGAGTATTGAGGTTACATGGTGTAAAGGTAAAAGCTATTAGTAATTGGGAGATACCTACGACAACAAAGAAAGGAGATAAATCTTTACTTGAGATAGCAAAGTATTACAGGAAGATTATTCCCGGGTTTGAGGAAATAGCAGCCTAACTCACAGCGTTTACCTATAAATCAGGACCGAAATGTGTTGTGTGGGAAGAAACACTGTGAAAGAACTTTCAGGAAATTGATTTTTTTTATACACCTATAAGGGTACGTTAGCCACCATTATGCAAACTGGTGCCCCCCCCCCCATGCAACGATAGGAGTAGTGCTGAGTCAAATAGATTAGGTTCACATAGAATATCCAGTGGCATGTGAAAGCTGAAAATTACTAACATATGAGAAACTTGAAAAACAGTGCTTGACAATCGTAAGAGGGCTTAACAAATTAAAACCCTTTCTTTTAAGTTAAATCACCTATCGTAGAAATGGACCATAACCCTTTCTGGTCGCACAGAATGAAGAATGTAAATGTAAAACCGCTGTGCTGTGTTCTGTTACTGTAGTTCTTTATGGACCAGCAAGTTGTCATCGAAATGCAGACGACTTTTCGCGCTTGAGTTATTAAGATCAACCTGTGACTTTGGTTTGATTAAAACATATTTATTACAGATAGATACGGGACTTAAGATTCTTTCAGCTAGGATCAAAATTTATCTTATGTGTGAATATCTGGCTATAAAAATGAATGGAAGAGTAACAATTTGCTAAATTACGTATATATATATAAGCGAAAAAAAAGACTGTGGACTGTAATGTGATATATCTAAAGACAGTGAAGTTATTAGTCTTCCGTAAATAACGGTGAAGGGTGAAACAACTTAAAGAAGAATGTGATGATACGCCTGAATTTTAGAACCGTGGATTACACAGAAACTTGAATATTATCAACATTTTTGAAAAATTTCTGGAAAAATTAGAAATGTGTTATGAAGTTAGGTGTAAGGAACATCGGTTGAAATTGAGAGATGTAAGAAAGCGGCCGGCTTTTAGTTAGTCCCTAAGTGATTAGGGGATTACATCACTCTCAAGTCATCAATAAGTTATTGGAAGGAGCAGCTGCTTTTCTGAGCTCAGCCGGATTTGGAAACTACAAGAAAACCTATAATTATGAAGTGGCCATCTTTCTTGTTTAGCCACTGTGGGGGTTAAGGAACCCCTAACATTATGACACTATATGCAGTTCATCGAATACGATCTCATAAAACCGGGAAAATGTCTCAATTCGTCAAAGTAGTCACAACATCACAACCAGTTGCCAACCATCTATTCACTCACGCCTTTCATTCTAATGTTTCCACTATAGAGCCGAGAAACCACACAGAACCACTCCCCGTCCCCTACTTCACCCACCACCGAACAGATGCTCCAAAAAACAACCGCCATGCCACCTTCCTACACTAACCCCCTCACCCGTCCATTAGTCGATCCATTCCTGGAGCTCAGCTTCAATCAAGGATCAAAGCACTCAAACATGTTTTCTTAAAACACAAGACGTTTCTACCTTGACTGCCAATGCTACCAAAACTACACAGTTTGCCCAAACGAAACCAGAATAAAGTTTGTAGACATTAATAGTAGCAGAGAAAAGTGTTACTATGGTACAAAAAAAATGAGGGGAGTGTTCTCATTCTGTAAGATAAATTTTATGAAAATATGTCTTAATATCACCAATTTTTCATTTTTATCATATATTTTCTGCCATAGTACATACTCATTGAAGTATATGTTTAATTGCAAGAAAATCACTGCGAATTATCTGATCGTCTTATGAGGTTGCGTATCCAACGGATAAATATAATATTTTACTTCATTATTAATTAGAAACTTTAGTTTTAAAAGAAGTGTTTCATTGCGCTATCAAACTTTATAGTGGAGCTATCTATACCTTTAAACTTTTCCAACAGTAAATTTTAAAAAATAAAGTTTAAAACCAAGTAGGGAGTAGTACTAATTATCAGAAATGCACAAGATCTCAACTCTTAATGAATGATTGATGTAAACGAGTATTATACATGGGTTAATTGTGATGACAAATAAAATAAATTACGATTGTGTAATTAAATGTTTTTTTTAATTCGTGCCTATTCTGCCCTATTTATTGTTTGGGAGTTTTTCCATTCATTCGAGCAAGAAAACAATTCTTGATTTGATTACACGCAGAGGTTTGACAATACTATTTCTGGTCTCGTGTGCGTTATAAATGTTTACTCATAAATAAATATTAGTCGAGCGCCCTAACCACCTGGCCATCTCGTCTAAAATTAATGTTTTTGCGAATCCTACTTCTCTTAGACTGAAACTTCGCGTTTAAGGGAATGAACTCGTTTTTTTCGACGGTCTCTCTTCTAACAAGTTATTTTATGTTACTATTAATTAATCACGAAAACAACGGAACGTTACCCAACTATTCTAACCCTTGAACGACCCTGTTCTAGCCCGAATATTCTGAAACACGGTATATACTGTCTGACGAAAGACGTGTGCCGAAACGTCACAAAATATAGGTTTCATTTCAATGTAGGAAAACATGTCAAAAGTTGAATATCGTACAATACTGACAAATTTAACAAACACCTCTTCTTTAACGTTATTTTGTAAAAATAAAAGAAAATTTCGTTTTCACATAATTAGACTTGTGTATGTGTATATATATACTAAAATTAGAAAATGATTCTTTGAGGTTAGGGTTCATAATATAAAATTCTCGTAAAACTATCATTGGTGTTTGTATTTTATTAAGAACCTATTCTTTTATAAGTTGGATTAATAAATCTTTACGGACGCAAAAACTTGAAGTGACCAATATTCTTACCTGCTGATACATTTGGTAGAATTCCTTAATAATATTCAAAATAGCGAATGCCAACACAACCATCCCGGTAATACAGGAAACAGCAGTGTAACTCTACAATATCAATAAAACATACTTATTTTAAGTACAAGATTACCACAACCTTGGACATATTCTATAATTTAACATCTTATGCATATAAAATATTATTTTCTGTTCAGGTCTCTTCCACATTTGAAATTCAGAAACTCTCCTCCCCCTTAAAAACACACATGTAATTTCAACACAGATGCTGTTATCTTTTTGTCAATTTAATATTTCAATACCTCAAATATGTAAACAATTAATAACATATTAGAAGAAAATACAGTTGAACAAGTCGAGTCTGAAAGTAATTTTAATTCTCTTGATGAAAGAAGCAGTTATAAAATATATTTCATAACTGGAAACCTTCTCACAATACTAAAATAGTATTTATTTTAAGAAATAAATATCCCGTTCCATTCATTTGACATTTATTTTAATACTTTAAAACAGAATGCCGTGTTGTACGAAATACAAAACAAATAGGCTTTTGCCGACGACTGACCCGAATTACAGAACAAATAATCTTTTACCGGCGACTGACACCAATTACAGAACAAAGAATATTTTCCAGGTGACTGTTAATCAAGCAATTACCTCGTGAAATATTAGATCATTAAGAAATTAATGTCGCTTTTTTAGATGAAAAAACCCGATCAACTTATATATATCAAAACAAAACATTTATTAAATGAAATAGTTTTCATTTTTATCTTTTGCATCTTACAATCAGGTTGTTGATGCTCTGGTTAAAGAAATCACTTGGCTTTGAAACAAAACAAAAAATTCCGATGTCCTCTTTAACACCTTCCACTTTTGCATACGCTTTCCCATTAAGATGGTGTTGCAGCGAACGAAAAAGATGGTAATCTGATGGTGCCATATCTGGAGAATATGGTGGGGGGGGGGACTTCCGAACCCAACTCCATAATCTTGTGTTACGTTAAACGTGCCCCGTTTCGACGTGCATTGTCGTAGAGAAAAAGAACACTTTTGCGATTGACGAGTGAAGGGCGTTTCTGATGAAGGGCTTGATTTAAACATTCCAGTTGCTGAATATAGATTTCTGAATTTACAGTTCGCTGTGGATTGAGGAGTTCGAAATGAATTATTTCTTTGATCGACTAAACATTTCCTGGAAAACCAGATGACCTTCATGACGTCACTAAACTCC